GGATGTGTTTCGACTGTGACCATTTAAGCTCTGTGTGCCGGCCAGCACTGAAACATCTGTAGGAAACTCTAATGAGGAGGTGGTGCGGTGGTTCCCGAGCCCAGACAAGTGCACGTATGGGTTTGTAGGTTTTCCTAGCCACTCTGGCAGGCAGTCCAGCAGAACCCTGGGCTTCCTGCTTAGAGAGATGCCCAGGGACATCCTTGTCCCCAGACTCTGGTGGTTCCTTCTGGGACCCTCCATGGCTATAGTGTTGGGCACACGGCTGGCACAGAAGGAACACTTGGGGGTCAAGTGGTCTTTGGTTCCAGGCCACATGTTGTCACCTCCTTTGAGGTGCCCCGCTAGGCACATTCCTTCCATCCTTATTAAGAAAGTGAGCTCATGTTCCCCTGTGATGAGTAGTCCCTGTAGATTTAGGGGATTAATAAAAGGAGTCCATGACAATCCATTGTAAGCCCACCACGCAGGGAGAGCATTGCCACTTTGCGGTTTCTTTCCCAAGGGGCTCCAGCACTTTGCATGACCTGTTTGTGGCACTTGGTGGCACACTGTGACCTGTGTCCCAGGCCAGGCATTGTGCTTCCTGTCGTGTAGCAGTGTGTGGTGGGGTGAACCTCCACTTCTCTATGTGGGGGCGTCCAGGTGGCCCAGGGCTGGTGTCTCCCATTTTCTGATTTTCCCAACTTTGATCTCATAGTAATCATTTCCTGTGTCTCGGATTTAAGGTGTTAGCCTTCTCTTACAAAATCCGTACACAGAGCAGCGGGGGGCCCAGGGAGGATGGGCAGTGTTGTCTATTGTGCTGGGGCTCTGTTTCTGTCAGAACTGACCAGGTGTGTACTCAAAAATGGGTGCATGTATTGTTTATAAATAATAAGTCCAAGAGGCTGATTTATTTTTTAAAAAGCATTACTAATATTATGGATCTTTCCCTTCACTAGTAAATGGGTGGGCAGGGTGTCTGGGAAGTAGAGGGTGTTTTGTGATTGAGGGTTTTCAGTTAAAAGAAAAGAAAATAAAAGGTGGTGGGGAAATGAGGAGCTGACATTAAGGGCTCAAGTAGAAGGCAAATGTTTTGAGAATGATGAAGGCAACAAATGTATAAATGTGCTTGACACAATGGGTGTTTGTATGGATTGTGATAAGAATTGTATGAGCCCCAATATAATGATTTAAAAAAGAGAGAAAAAAAGATGGAAACAAAACCCACAAAAAAAGAAAACCAAAAAATCGCCGGGGACTGTTTCAAAAATAGCACCCTGCATCATTCTGTCCCCCCCAAAATCCGCATACCTGAGCACCCCTCCCAGGTTACCCCACAGAACCTCAGGTGTGATAAGGGGAGAGAAGATTCCAGGGGCGTCTTCCGCCATGCAAATTTTCTGCCACCGTGCTGTCTCTGCACAGCCTCGCTGTGTCACCAGCAGACTGGCCCCCACTCTGCGGGCTAGGAGCTCAGGAGAGTGGTGGAGGGTGGCCCTCTGCGCATTTTGAGACCACATGGTCCAGCCGCCATGGCTGAAGCGACCCGTTTCCCTGGGGTGACCCAGGCAGAGGAGGCGTAAGCCTGCGACCCCAGAGTGCAGCCCTAACTTTTCATACTTCTGTGCCGGCCTCTTCTCCACTTCCTGTCTTCCAGCCCTTAGGTCCTCGGTGTTCTGTGTGGGCGACGTCTTCTCACAAGCTTAGCAAATTGTCTCATTGGCAAGAATTCCCTCCAGATTACCTTCTCGAGTTCACCCGCATGTCCTCGAAGCGGCACAGATGCCCCTCTCTCCAAGGAACCTGGGGGCCTGGTATCAACAGCCATTGTTTGCTGTTGGCCAAAGGAGCCCACGCGGAGACCCCTCAGGACAAAGGCCTGGGGCGGACTGCTGAACATTTCAGAGTGCAGTTGGACTCTGGGCACACGGGGCCGCTGTGAGTCAGCATTGACCTGACAGCCGCTGGTTTGGGGGTCACCAGCAGGGGCTGGGGTGGAGCCTGGAGGCAGGAAAGAAGGGTAGGGTGATGAACACGGCGCGGCTGAGTTTGCGCGGTGAGCCGTGTGGTGATCAGTTCCTGAGTTCACATGCCTGCTTCCTTACACTTCAGGGTCCCCACCACCACCACCAGGCCAGTCCTGGCTACGTCTCTCCCCTTTCAACCATCATGATGTGTGGTGAGTGGACTTTGTAGGCCAGCCCATGCATTTATTGTGACGTACCACAACAGCCCAGGGAATTGCGGGCTCTGTTTTACAGAGTGGCTGCCCTTCAGCGTGTGCTGCAGCCCGCTCAGCAGTGCTCAGAGGCTGTTAGAGAGCCGAGACGGTGACGCCGTCCTCACTCAAGGCCCACCCAGCCCGTCTAACTCTTTACACACAAAAAACATGTATTCTGTTTGGGTGTAGTTCTTGGGTTTTGTTTGCTTTCTATAAACTGTAGTTCTTGTGCAAGAATCTTTTTTGCTTCACGTCATTTTCATTTTTAGAGCCCAGCAAGGCAGCCCCTTCTGCGTCTCTCTCTGTTCGCGCTCTCAGTGCCCTGGAGGCGGTGCCGGCCCCTAGCCGCCGTGTGGCTCAGAGGAGAACCACCCTGTAGGGGCAGATGACCGACCCTGTCTCTTCTCTCAGGGCGAGGCTGCTGCCAGTGTGCTGCCCACGTTCTGGTTGGCAGCCGGGGGAGGGACCATTGCCTGTGACCCCCTCCGTCATCTCCTGCAGCGTGGCCGTGTGCAGCTGCTCCTCCTCTTGACGGGGCACACGGGTGTGCTTGCTTTCAGGCTGTGATAACGTCATCATCATCTGGAACGTGGGGACCGGGGAAGCCCTCATAAACTTGGACGACATGCATTCGGACATGATTTACAATGTCAGCTGGAACCGGAACGGCAGTCTGATCTGCACAGCTTCCAAGGACAAGAAAGTGAGAGTCATCGATCCCAGGAAGCAGGAGGTTGTTGCTGTGAGTACCCCGAAGCCCAGTCCTGGTAGCTGGGCAGTGGTCGCGGGCCTCTCGCTCTGTGAAGCAGGCCGCAGAGCCGTCGGGAGCTAACCGCAGGGCCGGCAGCGGGTCAGTGGGGAGGAGAGGACGGTTGCAGAACTCGAAGAGTATGGTCCGCTTCGCCGCACTGGACAGGCAGAGACTGTTGGAGTCTTGCGTGTTCTGCAGCATAATTTGCAGCAGCAAAATAAAAATTAAAATGTTTAAACTCGGCTCCGTGTGAGAGCGTCTCTCACGCAGGCGGGGCCCCAGACTGTGCGGATCACGACACAGCACAGACAGCGGGGTCTCTAGTCCAAGGCCGCCTTTCTTCACTCACTCTGGGCCCTGCAGTTGCCCTTCTCCAAACTGTGCCTGTTCTTTGGCCAAGATGGCTTCTCAGTGACCGCGTGCCAGTCGTGGTTGCTGTGCTTACGGGTCCCTTAGGCCCTGGCCACCCCAGGCAAAGTGCTTTCTTTGAGCTCTTGCACCAGCAGCCTTCCCAGGGCGGCCCTAGTACACCCCTCCTCCCTGAACACACAAAGCTCAGGAAGGCCTTAGTGGGACCTGTTTGAAGTGGGCCGGCCTCGCTCACAGGGCATATCCAGCCCTTGGGCCCTGGCCGTCTGGAGGAGCCAGCGGTGGCCAGTCTTCCATGTGTTCTTCCCAGCACGTGGACGGGGTCAGCTGCGGGCTGCAGCAGTAGACGAGGGGAGGCTGTAAGCAGGGCCTGGCTCTCTTGCTCACTTACTAGCTAGTGTCCCTTTGCTTCCTCTTCTCTAAGGGGGGGTGGGCAGTCAGCACTGACCCTCCCAGGGGAGCCTGACTGGCCGGTGAGCTGTCGTGGGGCTGAGCGTGTGTTTGAAGGTGTCTCCTGTGCTTTTTTGCTCTCTCCCCCAGGAGAAGGAGAAAGCCCACGAAGGGGCGAGGCCCATGAGGGCCATCTTCCTGGCCGACGGGAACGTCTTCACCACTGGTTTCAGTCGCATGAGCGAGCGGCAGCTGGCTCTCTGGAATCCGGTACGCCTGCCCCACCTCTGCCACGGGCCACTGGAGCGCGCCCTCTTCTGGGTGGGCTTTCGTGGTAGGGTCAGTAAGTGGATAGTGGTGCAGCACTTCCCCGCTGAGTGGAAGGCTGGCGGTTCAACCCCAGCATCTTCTCCACGGCAGTCTGCTTCTTCTGTCAGGATTGAAAAAACAAACAAGAGAGACGGGTTGATCCTGCCTCGCAGCGACCTCATTAGACAGAGTCAAACTGCCCCCACAAGCACTGAAGCAGTGTTTCCACATCTGCACTGAAGCAGACTACCCTACCGCATTTTACCCCCAGAGTGGCTGCTGGTGGGTTTGAACTACTTGGCTTTGGGGTTATCTGCCAAGTGCTTGACCCATGCTGCCAGCGGCCTTACTCCACAAAGCCGGGGCAGTCTCTGGTGTTGTGCCCCGTCCTAGGGGATGACTGTGAGTCAGACTCAGCTACAGCAGTGAGTGGGTTTGGTTTGGTTGTCAGTGTGGAGGATTCAGATGATAGGGTTCGCAGTGCAGTTGTCTGAGCTTTCCCCAGTCATCAGTCGAATGTCAAGTGCTCACCCTCCCTGGAGACTTCACTGGTAAATGTGACTCCCCAGGGAGTCGGTTATGCTGTGAAGCCAATCAAATGTCCAGCGGGCTGGATTCCACTTTGTGCCCTCCTTAAATCTTGCTGTGTGAAGACTACATGTGCGGTGCTCAAACTTGCAAGATTTAAACGCGAAGGATAGGGTCAGTGCCTAATTTAAGCACACGAGAATGTCTCTTAAGGTTATAAAAATGCATCCTTAAAGTGCACATATCATTTTCTTCCCCCTAGAAAAATATGCAGGAGCCAATTGCCCTTCATGAAATGGACACCAGCAATGGGGTGTTGCTGCCCTTTTATGACCCTGACACCAGCATCATTTACCTGTGTGGGAAGGTAAGCGGACACGTCCACAGGTGTCTCACGGACTGCTGGGGATGAGTTTACCCTTCAGAGATTTAGAAGATGGAAACGGATGGGTGTAATGTTGTCACTTGTCAAGTGGCTGTGTGCGCACGCGTGTCTGTCGAGTGTGTATATGCCTGTGTGTCGCGTGTTCGTGTGGTGTTCACTAGGGCAGCAGGGTGTGGGCCTGCTTGCTTTACATCTGTGCCTGGTTGCTTGGAAACAGATCTTGCCGGGTTCCTTGCAAGTCGTTTTATTGCAGATGTCAACAGCCGGTGGGTGAGTGCCCGCCACAGAGGGCTTCAGAACAAACAAGGAGGGGGCTGCCCAGATGGTAACATCAGGCGACCCATTATTTGGGGTATTCAGGAAGGAAACCATATATTTAACTGCTTTTCCCAGCTCTTGAGCTAAAACGGTGATTTGCGCCATTTTCTTTCCCACACATTTGCTCCTTCAGACAAGATGCCGGCATGACTCAGGCTGGTGTGACCACGTAATAATTACACAAGCATTGAGAGGCGGGCGTAAGCGTCAGATTCCCAAGACATCTGATTGTGGTGAACAAGATAACTTGAGACTTTTACACATTGCACTGAGACAGCACTACCTTTTGAAGTTAAAGATCACCCAATACAAGGCTTAACTAGAGGGGTGGAGTCTCACTGTTTCTGTCACCTGTTTGGCGTGGGGGCCGCCTGGGTGTTCGGCTGGTGCTCCTCAGCGTGGAGTTGTAATGCATGGTCTGGCAGCAGCGTGAACGCTTCTTTGACCTGGGGAACTTGGGAGCTTCGGTAGGAGGGAGTTGGGGGTTTACGGGCTTGTTATCGCTGATGAGTGAAGGTTGGCTCTGAGGAAGTGCGAAAGAATGTGAGGGCAATGCCTCACCTCTGATCCTGCAAGGGGGAGGGGAGTCAAACTCAACCTCAGCCCAAGGGGGGTGGTCAGACGTACCTCCACCCCCCAGCCTTCTTGATCAATCTAGTCACCAGTCAAACCTTCCAAGGCCCTTCCTGCTTCTCTGCCGGTTCCATAATCCATTCCAATGGTAGCCCACCCTCAAGAGCCTAGGTTTATAAGGAAGGTGGATAGTTTTCATCTGTGGGTCAGCAGTACTCCGCATACAGTTCATCAGTCAGGACAGTCTCTTTCCAGCCTGGCCTGCAGGCACACCTCTCCCTGAACCTCACAGCCAAGTGGCCCTTTGGTCTCTTCCCTGCTCAAGCAATGGTACTAAGCTCCTTTACTCCCGCCAGTCAATGCCCAAAGGACAGACGCTTCTGCCATCAGCCCAGGTCTAGAAGCACTCCCCTCCAGTCTGTGAATCGGCAAGTCCAGAGGCACCCCGCCCCCCTCCAGCCAGCCGCCTGCCCCGCCATCCCCAGCGCCTGGTGCTGCTGTCACCACTTCTCCACCACCTCTCTGGACTGAGAAGGTTTAGTGTGTAGGGAGCTCGGGAGTCCACGTGGCATGTTCCACTCCTGGCTCTTCTTGCGTGTAATACTGAGCTAGCCCATCCCCACTTCAGAGGGGGCATATTTTAGACCCAGTGGGATGGCAGAGCTGACCAGTGCCCATGTTAGAATGGCCATACTCAAGGTCCTATCTAGTCACTTGGTGGGAGTTACAAAGACCATGGCTAGGAGAGCCAGACCTAGCAATTCACAGCACCGTAGAAAGAAAAGGCGTCCTGTGCCTTAGGCAAGCCTCGGTACCACAGAAGCTCAGCCACCGTAGAAGATCCCAAATGATGCTGGATGTACATGGTAGAGAGAGACCCACTTAAGCCAGATGCCTCTGTTAACATTACCCACAAAACTTGTCTCTGGTTTCTTACAGGGCGACAGCAGTATCCGCTACTTTGAGATCACGGATGAATCCCCATATGTCCACTACCTCAACACATTCAGCAGCAAAGAGCCTCAGAGAGGGATGGGTTACATGCCCAAGAGGGGGCTTGATGTGAACAAATGTGAGATTGCCAGGTAAGGAGTTGGCGTTCTACGACACGCAAGGTGTCGGTACCAATGTTTGTTTCCCAAAGTAGGCGATCCTGGAACAGGAGAGGGGCTGCAAAAGCAGATGCCTACGATTTGCCCTGGATTGTGGGAGGGGTGGATTATAGCACAAGCGTTTTGAATTGCCTGGGAAGGGCGGCCGAGTAGATTTTTTTTTCTTTTTTTCTGAAAAGGGAATGGTAGGCTAAATAAGTTTGAGCACCGGGGGGTTTTACCAGCCATGTATTATGAGGGTTGAGTCTTGGCACCCCCGTGTGGGGTCTAGAATTACTTCCTGCTTCTTGCCCGTATTCAGAACGTGGTCTTCTCGGGACCCTCATGACCACTGACTCTGTGCCCCTGTGGTACTCAGCTGGGGGAGCTGAGTGCTGTGGTCTCCCTTCCTGTAGAAGTGAAACCCGATTTCCTTGTCTTCAAGCTGAGCCTGTCTGTAGTGCCCCTCAGACAGAAATGAGGGGTGGCATCCTACATGCAGGAGAAGGAATCGGGCTCTGAGTTGGACCCTGGACCC